TGTTGTTTTACTCCACATATTTAATAAACTTGTTGAAAACTGAGCATCTTAAGTGGAAAATAGAATTTCAAAGGATATCATTATAAAACAAGAGTATCCTAAACATTAAAATATCTATATATGATTCTCAATATAAAGCAATAAAACAAAAACTTAATATTTGTGACTGTGTCATGTCCAAGTTGTCTTTGAAAAGTAATACATTCTGATTCCTTATTTGGTAGATAGGAAACCTAAATCAAACAGCAAATGAGTGTCACATACCAATTATTTCAGTCATTTTTTAAAAAAAATTTCTTTTAGCATGAATTCTAGGAAACGAAGTATTTTGTATAGGTGTTATTGTCTATCTTTATCCATGTTCTATTATGCATTAAGACCACATCAATAAACATAGCTGTGTTGATATTTCAGTTTCCACTTTGACTATTAAAAAGGAAACCTATAAAATGGTGCATTTGCAGTTATTTTTTTTCTTTCAACTTAACAGCATTCACTATTATTTTACTTTTTATAAATACTTTTCATCATGTACCCTCTTTTAAAAGTGCAGCCAATTAAATATAAGAATAAGACAAGAAATGTCAACATAGATATGCTTATTGTTGAAAACTTTTTCTTAAGTACCAAAATACTGCTCTCACCCTAGTCCCATAAAACAGTTTTTCCTTCCATTTCTTACCTACATTCCAAGCCCTGTGTCTCAAATAGTACTTGAATTGCCTCATAGATATTAATAATGTTTTATATTCCTTACGCTTACATTAATTATGTGTAGTTAAGACATGTAAAATCTGATTATATATGTTTGTATATACACATATGGAAATATACTTAATATATGAAAAATTTAAATATTATGTAGATATATGGACAAACAAGGGAATTTCATCCAGTATTATTAGTATCTTAACTACATTTATATTCACACCCTAAACAGATGTACAAAGTGAATAATCATGGTAAGCTTTGTCTTAGGAACAGCTATCAAATGAATTTCTCTTGTAATGATTACTTTTTCTACTTTACATTTTTGAAAGTTAGGATTTAAATAAATTGCAATAAACTATTGTCATTTGTGAAAAAGTATGAACACACTTTAAATAAATTACCGATTTTAGGTACATACATTTATGTTATGTTTTTTAAGGAAATAAATTTAAGTATTAGAAATATTTCAAGGCCATGATGTAAATAGATTTCATATCTGATAGAACTGGAATATCTTTAAGTGAAATTTCATGACTACTTGCCATGAACTTTCTATTGTCCAAGTAAGTCAAAATTAAAAATAGAATCTTTTAAAACTGTTATAAAAAAGCTTTAAAAATAATTGCTAGGATAACTGTGCTAGCAGCATATAAGAGTTATGTATGCTTTGCACAGGGCAGTGAAAACTCCTTGCTCAGTACCCAACAGTATTACTGAAATTTTGCCTCCTGTTCCTTAAATGCTGCCAGTGGGAGGGAACCTGCTTCCTGTGATTGTTTTTTCCCCTTTGAATGGGAGCGATGGAGCACTTGCATGATGAGTTTGGTGCCTTGCATGAAAAAAACATGCAAAGGCAAGGTCTAGTCTGCATGCTGCTTAATGAATGTTTTTCCTTTTCTCTCCCTCCTTGTCATGTGCTTTCAGAAGACAACAATGTGGAAGGTGGGTGCTTTCTACTTTGTTTTCCAACTCTCATTTGCTTTTTATTTCTTAGTAATAGTAGAGTACATCTTGAATGTAGACGGTAAGTTGAACTTCTTTCTAAGTATTTGCTGATTTCTGGATTGTGTATCATTTTTCATATAGAACACACACTTTCAACTCCCTTCAGCCCCAAGTGTATGAAACACCTTCAACCTTAACTCCAGCCCTTGATGGACTTGAGCATCCCATGTAAACCTTACAATACTTATTTCAGTGTTCTCCATGGAAAAATGACACAATCTTACTTCTTTTATTTTAAATGAAAAAAAAATATATCTTTGTGGTTTCTGAACCCAGTGCATGATTCTCCATTTTTTTTTTCTTGATCATTTTCTTGATCAAAATAATTTCTTTTGTAAATTGTTGAGCATTATTATATCATCTCTAGCCCATTGGTTTAGATTCAAATGATTTGATTTTAAAAAGAATACAAAATAAAGTATAAGAGGCATAAATTTAGATTATAAGTAAGCCATTGGCTCATGGAAATGAAAGCATACAGCACTCCAGCATGATTACTGGTAAGTATATTTGTAATATTCTATGTCTGTTAAATAGAATTATGGTATTTGTTCAAGGTTTTCTAAAATTATCAAGAGATTTTGAGAAAGCTATACATTTTTCCTGTTGAATTCAACAAACTAAAACATGTTCAACATCCTTTTTAAATTAAAAAAGTGGTAAAATATAGTTGATTTTCTATATTGTGTCAGTTTCATATTTCAAGGTCCTTACCTTTAAGGACCTTAAATGCATTAGTTCATATGCTGTAAAATGAATATGTAAAGGATAAAAACATGAAAAGAACTAGGAAGTGCAAAGAATTGTGAAAGGGAAATTGATGTCATATCAACTTACATAATCACAGCATTAGCAGTTCAGATTCCCTAGAAAAAGAGTCCCCATCTAATGTAACAGATTAAAATTACTAAAATTTGATGTCTCAAAGAACGATTCATGCTAATACAAAATTGATCAGTAGCAGATATCAGCATATTATTTGTGATCATTTTGTGGATTCTTTCAATTGCTTAGTTGCTGAACATTTCTGTTTCATTATTTAAGTAAAACAAATTAAAAGTTTAAAAGAAATCACCAGTGAAAATTTTTTCCAGGTGTTGCTTCTGTAAATGGCATCTTTTTTTCTACAGTATAATTTAAATAGCATGTGAGTGTGCACTTGGTAAAGATATTACTCTTACAGGTCTGACTAACATTGTTCAAATTCATTCTCATTTATAATTGTGCACATTATTTGAGTTCAAAAGTTTTTTTGTTTTTTTTAAGTATCTTTTTGTCTTTTTTTGTATTTCCTTAGTCATCCTGTAAAAAGGTCCATGTTTCTGTTTTTTTCTCTTTAAATCCAATTGCATTCAAAGGGGCTTTAAAATCAGCTTAATAAGCATATATGACTTTCTCCCTACACATCTCATGAAGAAAATTGACAAGATTTTCAGAGTATAGGCTCATAAACTATTGTAATAAAGTTTATTCAATCATTGGAGAAGGAAATGGTAACCCACTCCACTACTCTTTCCTGGAAAATTCCATGGATGGAGGAGCCTGGTAGGCTGCAGTGCATGGGGTCGCAAAGAGTCGGACACGACTGAGCAACTTCATTTTATTCTATCACAATTTTTATTGTCTATGTTTATAACTCCACTTTGACCATATAGTCTACCTGCCTTGGAGATAGGGAGTATAACACAAACAATGCAAATATTATTGATATTTTAAAATTTCCATTCTTATTAAGATAGTATTAAAAACCATTAGAGGAATGTAAAAGTTACATCTTGCACAGAATTATTTCCCTGATTTATTTTACAAAAAAGTTATGAACTATTGTCAGGAAATGTATATTAATTTTTAACCAAAATTAAATGAAAAATTATATAACTTGGGCAGATAAGCCGCTGTTCTTAAGCATATGAAGTATCATGAGTCACCAATGAATCATAAACTTTTTAAACTGATTGTGATTTTTGTTTTGTTTAAAAATCACTTAGAAAATATAAAAGAAACTAGATTACAGATACATTGAACTACTGTGCTAAATAATTTTTATATCATAATTATATGATGATTTGTAATTGTGTCTGCCCCACAGGAATGTGTAAATACCCCTTAAAATTTTAAGGACATAATTCAGGTTATTTCAATACTAATTCAAGTAATATGCAATGCTATTTAGCTCAAAGCCTCAAATATATTTGAACAGTGGGAAATGAAATACACATTTTATTAAATTTGTATGCATGCTTTATTTCTCTAGCAGTTTCCCATATTCTTGAAATATACAGGGATTGAAGTGTAACTTAATTTCTAAATTTAGAATAAAGAACTAGGAATTAATGCTGAAAAGTAAAACATATATTTATAGATAGTGAAATAATTTTTTAAAAGAAAATTACTAGTATTCTTTAGAAAAGGGGTAATCTTCAATCTAAAATTTTCAAGGAAAGGAAAAATTAAAAATAATTTAAATAAGCAAAAGGAATTCCATATTCTTTTAGAAAACTACCTTGATGAAATTATATCTTAAATATACTCATGTTAACTCATACTTTAATATTGAAGTAATGTTTAAGTAAAATGCTAAATAATTTTGTTTTCCATGGAAAATTACTTAAGCCTGTTTAAAGGTCATCCATTGTTTCTAAAAAAATCTCATTCCATAGTAAGTTCTAACTTTACAACTGCATGTCTGATGATCTCTTTTATATTTGAACAAGCTTATTCAGTTCCCAACTGTGTCAGACAAGGGGCCATTTCTGCATTATCATTTCAGTGTGACTCAGGATGTGTTTTTCTTTTTTTCATTTAATTATGAAGCGTCTCATTTTTTATGAGAGGAAAAAGATCAGACCCAGCCCATGTTTCAGGTATTCCCTTGGGTTTTTTTTTTTTTTTCTTCTTCTTCAATATAATTTCGTCACCAAAGAATGCAAACCCTGTGGGGCCAGTGTTCAAAGCAGCCTCATCAGAGGGCATGCAGGGCAGATGCAATATTTAAGGGATTGGTTGGATTTTAAGTCATGCTCTTATGATTTTGAATGCTCCAACTGATGCATAGAAGAAATACACAGTGCAGCATATGCAGGTGTTTAAATTGCAGTTCTGTAAGTCTTTGCCCCAAAGCATTCCAACCCGGAGTTGAAAGAATGCTTCTGATTTGCCTCTGTGATACAGACACGTCTCATAGGAAACAAGATGTCTGTCACTGAACATTTTTGTCACTGTGACAACCCTGCCTTCCCATGCTCCCTTGTTTATTGCTGACTGTGCTCTTGTTTCCCTTCAAGGTCTGGCGCACCTGATGATGGGCGACCAAGGTATGGGCTCTGCTCCTTTTCCACTCTGCTTCCAGCGTTTTCTTGTTCTCTAGCTGCTTTCACACCATTGCTGCAAAGGATGGGCAAATGCTTGCAAGTTATCTGGCTGCAAATAAAATGCATAACTTTGTTCACATTTTTTCATATGTTTTTCTCCCCTTTTTTGTTGGTTTGGTATTGGTTTGCTCCTTTGACTTTTATTTTCCTTCATACTTGCACTATAATATCTGCAAATAAATGAGACATAAGAACTTGTAATTGAAAGTTTCCATACGTTTATCAGCATATGCAGTTAAGGGTAGTTATAGTAAAGAAAATCAGAGAACCATTAATATATGAAAGAAGATACTTGGTTTAATGTACTGCACCAAAAAGAGTCCATTTTTCACCCATGCATGGCAGTTTGGCAACATATGCAGACATCTTTGGCTTCTGGCTTCTTGAATGCTGAGTATAGTGTTTTACAAAATCAATACTTTTTCTACCTACAGGCATTGTGTATCTCCTTTTGTGCAGTCTTTTAAAGTGAGCATGGGCTTTCTAATTTCCTTGCACGTATTGCCTTTAAAAAAGGCAGATTTCTCAACATGTATTGATTATATCTCCATTTGTTTTCAAACCCTTATACCTTCTTGTATATTTAATTTTCAAAGAGTAGTACATTTACATATATTCATAATTCTTATTGTTGTTTCTCTCCTCTTTATTCTCCTTGTATGGAAACCCTTTCTTCATGGAACCATTTCATCAAATCCATAGGTAAAAGTAAAGGTATTACATTATTTTATTTCTTCTTAATATCATCTATATGAATAACAGTGTGTTATGCAAATATATTTAGACCTTTTGGCATTAGTAATGGGCACTGGGAGGTAGGTGTGAGTGGTAATGAATATTTTATGAATTTAAGGTAAGAAAAATCCATCAAAATGTTTCCCTGTGTTTTTTCTGACTCTTTAGAGTGTTTTTTTTTCATGTCAGCCGCTTATATAATTAGCATATTTAGAGATTAGTTACAGGTTTCAGTGTCAGTTTTTGCAGCATTATTTAATGGTAGTTAAATAATGAGTGTAGCCACTAGAAACATGTCATCCTCCAATATTTAATTCTGAGTACACCTGCTCCAGCTCTTCTGCCTCAGAATGTAAGTGGAAGCATGTGCAGCATTGAAATGGTCCTGCTGCAGGCCCGCCAGGCTGTGGTCTGCTAGATGTTATATGAACACACTGACTCCATGGTAACTCTAAAAGGTAGTTTCATAAGAGAGGCAAAGGCTCAAGGCAAGCCTGCTCTTTCTTTTGTGCATACTAACTTTGTTTTAAGAACATTGTCAACTAGGTGTACATTTCTGCATCCCTTGGTAAGTCAGGCATGTGTATTCTTTGACAGTATTGGTGCCAAATTTAAAAGCATGCTGAGTTTGCCATTTAGAACCATGCACATTGTGTTTAACGTTTTCATTAAAAGAAAATAGATGATATGCAACTGTGGTAAATATGTCTCATAGCCTTTAACCATTTTTAACTGTGTATTAATGAATGTGCCCTTGGTATCTAGTTTTGTTTTATTTTGGCTGTTTTAAACACAAGGGTGTGTTTCTTTTAATTCTCTGAATCTCTCTTTTTCTCTGAATCTTAATCAGGCAAATTGGTACCAAAGTTCACAGATCTCTCCCTTTACATTAGTGTCATCTAGCAGGGAAGCTTTTCCATTTAAAAAAAGCCCTGAATGTGAGTGTAGAAATAAGTAAGAGACGATATCAAAGTTTTAAATGTGTAACATAGACCTTTAGAAACAAATGTTGTTTGAGTATTTTGAGCCAATAAAAGGAGACCATATGTTATTGCAGTTGGTGCTTTGGTCATCCATTTCCAATAATATAATTTAACCTTATTTTATACTTTCAGCAACCATGAAAATGACAACATGTATCAGTTCTTTTAGAAATTGTGTGTACCATTTGGGATACTTTTAAAAACTCCTTTTTTTTTTTTTTTTTTTTTTGAGGCCAAACTACTGTTACTTCCATTTCTGAAGTGGGCATTTTCCCCCGAGTTCCTTAATATAGGAATCAGGCTGACATAGAGGGAAATGTATTTATATTTTATTTTACTAGCTGAGTGAAATAGACGTATATGTGTTTGTATATGTGCATGCATATATTCGTATGAATGCATATGTATACACAAACTTTCTAAATATACATACACATATATATCAATTATGTTGTGAAAAAGTAACTCTTAAAAATAATACTCTAATTATATAACCATTTAGCTCTACATATGAAATAATTCATTTTTATGCTTACCTGATATTCATTTTGGTGTAATTAATGTTAAGTGTCACTTAACTTTATTCAGTTTTATTATGTCAGTCTTAAAAGTTTTCTATTGCTATGTGTGTCAAAAAATTTTTACTTTACCAGTTTTCATCAAATTTTATTTCTCAATCAGCACAAAACTATACAGGACAGGAATTTGGTATTTACTTTACATTATTTTTTTGTTACTAGGACTAGGATGCTTCTTGGTGTTAAATGGTAAAAGAAGACTTTGAGATGGACTTGGGTATTTTGTAAAACAGTGATCACCCTTACATGTTGGTTAAGCTATATATATATATGCATATGTATATATATATATATATATATATATATATATATATAATAGGAAACATGATTTGTAAGTCTGCATTAGTTGCAAATTAGTTCAACAAATCTGCATTCTAGAACAAAAAATCCAGTCTTGACTGTGATGAATCATAAATGAGTGTCAATAAAATAGGGAATGAAAACATGGATAAGTTAAATGAAAGATATGGAAGTGCAGGGAGAGTGGTAAATAGTATGATCAGTGATGGGCATTCAGAAAAAAATAAAGATAGTATGAATCAGGGCCTCCTTTAGGAGGCTATCCTTGCTTTGTACCACCTGTTGGAGGAGTCAAAAATGTCTAGAAACTTTACAATGTAGCCTTTTGTATCAGGTTAAATCCTAGTTGTGCATAAAATGTGTTAAGTCGACCTAATCAAAGCAAAAACAGATGTGCTTTGGAAATTCATGCTTCTCAAATCCTCCCATCAGATTATAATCCTGAAACATTTTTTGGACCCAACATTTCTTTTCGTAGTGAATTCAGGTGCTCTGGAATAATCATTTGTGAATTAAAATCTTCCTTTATTGAATCCAGAAGCAAAACTAGGTTCAAGAATATTATTGCTATCATTTTTATATATTTTATATGGATTCTTAGGTATTTTCTGAACTTTTAAATGTCCAATGACAGACAAATGTATTTCACTTTGTACATTTTAAAAAGGAACATTTCTTCTGATAACCTCCTTCATCCTCCTCCTCAGGCTTCTCTCTAGAGGTAAGCACTGGTATCACTTTGTGATGTATCCTTACACAGTTGGTATGGATCCTTCCAAACTCCGTAATTATTTCTTCAGGGTTTGAAAACTGCAGAATTCCTTATCATATGGTGTGACAAAAGCAGATAAGTCAGCTGGAGATGTGTTAGGGCTCATTGCTTTGCTGGCACAATCAAAATGAATGAAATAAAAACTTTTTCACTCTTTCTGTAGACCATCTTGACTTATATTTTCACTTGGTCATTCTGTTTCACATTTTAAAGTTGATTATTTTGATTTGTTTTCATGTTTTCTAAATGATTACAGTTAAGAATAACCTTTATTTTCTTTGGGATAGCTAAGAGAGATAATATTCAAGGCCAACCAAACTCCCATTGGTTGCGGTTGGATAGATTCAAGTAGTCTTTGTGACACTGTATTTGCCTTCTTTCTAGGTTTGAAATTTGCCAGGGTATTGTTAGGACTACTGACAATATTAACTTTATTTTCCACTCCTTTCGAGAATCTAGGTTTATCTATTTGTCTGGGAATGCAGTTTTTTGCTTTTGTTTTCTTCTATGTATGTTTAAACTGGTCACTTCCTTCCAACAATTGATTATATTTTACTCTAATGTTTGAGAAAGATGAATGACCATTTAAATCAGAACATGTCAAAGAAAGTTGTGCTGCAAATCCAGCCATCATTGACTGGTTAAATAGCTGAGAAGCATAGGTTAATAATTGTCCTTTAAATGATGATCAAAAGCCTATATTTTCCATCATAACAGTTATTATCACTGTATATATTTATGTGAATGATTATATATTTAATGTCAACTTTTCATAGTAGAATGTAAGCTCCATGAGGGCAGGAAGCTTGACTTTCTTTTTGACCATTATATTTCCAGAATGTCTTTCTTACTGTATCTTGAACTTGCCATTCTCATGATTTAAGTATGTGTGTGTTGGGGTGTATTGGAAAAGGTAGATATAGAGGAGGACATGGAGGGTTTGTGGTGGACATAGTAGAGGGTGGAAAAGTAAAAGGAAACTTGTAAAAATAACTAGAAAAAATTGTAGTAATAGATTATATTGAATACTCTCTATCTCTATACTTGTTTCCGATCATATCCTTTTTCAAAGTTACAGTATTTCTTTCTAGTAAAATATCATTCTGGTATCACTTTAATATCTCTTAGCCTCTGAACAGCAATGGTCCTGTAAGGAAGTAAAAAGACAGTGTGTGTTTTTGTGTTTGTAGGTTTTCAAAAATTTTAATGTAATTCACTGTCACAGTGGCAAATAATAAAACTGTATTTTCTAACTTTCACTATTTGTGTGATAGCAACTACAGGACATTTCCTGAAATTCACATATCATGTTAAACTAACTAATGTGGTTTCCATGAATTTTGAGTTCTTTTTTTTTAACTTATATCAACTGTGATGTACCATAAAACATGTGTTTAAATTGGGTTTCAATTGAGTTAGGATTGCAAGCTTTCAAACAAGCCAGAATTTGTCTTATCTGTGATATGTCTTAATGTGATATGAGTATATTTGCTATTCCTTTCATTTGTAAATCCTGCACTGTATTTGGAAAATAAGTTTCCATTTGACCTTTTCAAGTGTTTATTGTTTGATTATCTGTGTTTCTCATGTTACTAGAAAGCAAACGCATTACAACTGTCAGGCATGTA